GGAACATCCCGCCCGCGGCCATGTAAGGCCTGCAAAATCATTTAGTCTGGCCCTGCCAAGGCATGAGCGGTGAGTTAATTAAATGTTTGACCAAATAGAGCAGGCTGATTTTTAGGTTGATAATTTTGTGTGGCCCTCGAGTGTCATTATAAATATCCAAATGGCTCTTGGCAGAAAAAAGGTTCCCCACCCCTGCTCTTTACATGGTTTCTTATTTCGAGAGGTGGGGCTGCCACCTACTGGAGGGTGGTGGTGCCGCCGCGGCCGCCTTGGTGTGTTTTTCCGGCTGGTCCTCTGAGTCGCCTAGGCACTGGGCTGGTGCCTGGGGTCTGGGCTGCACTGGGCTGGTGCCTGGGTCTGAACCCTGTGAGTCTCGGTGACGGAATTGTCACAGACGTTGCTGTCAGGGTCCAGCACAGTTACACGTGCACACGTGACGTGTGCGCCCACTGATGGTGCCCAAGTTCGCAAGAATGCTTGCTCCCGCGACCTGGTCACAGGAGGGTGCCCTGCGTTGGAAACTGGCTGGCTTTCCAGCCTCCTCTGTTGCTCACCGACTTCTCGGGGAGCCTTCTCAACCTTAGACCTACCTCAGCTTGTCCACTAGTGCCACGGGGCGAAGATGGAAATCCCTGCGCATTCCTAGGAGGCTGGGACGGGCCAGTGGCTCACGGCTCCTCTAAGGGAGAGGGTGATCCTTATACCCAGGGGTCTTAACAGCCATGCAGTTGGGCGCTGACTGTGGGCCAGAGTGTGGTTTTCATTCTTTACATATATTACTTCTAAAATCTTCTCAGCAACCCTGTGAGTGAGCACTGCATATCGTAGTCTTAATTGTTGGGAACCTGCGGCTGAGGGGTTAAGTATTTGTCCAATTGCCCAGCTACCAGTTGGTGGAGTCAGGAGTTGAACCCAGGGCAGATTCCAGAGCTCAGAGCTGTGAGCCATGCCACGGTACTGCCCTCTGCTGGGGAGGTAGGGGAATTGGGGGGTAAGGTAGGAGAGTCTGGGCTCGAGGCCTTGGCCTGGGGACAGAGGGCATGTGTCCTACAGGCTACCTGGAGAGGCAGCTCCCAGCCCCTCCTCCGCTCCAGTAGTGAGGTGATGGTTCTCTGTTCTTCCCCAGGATGTGGAACCCTCTTCGCCCGCCTCCCTTGCTGGCCTGTGCCCCTACACAGACTATGTGATTGGCTCAGACCAGCTCCTCCAGGAGGTGAGGAACCCGAGGCCCAGCCCTCCCCAGACCCCAGATGGGTGTGGAGATGTGGGTGCTGTTCATGAGAAGTGCCTCCAGTTCCAGCGCTGGGGCCAGGGCTCAGGCCCGTGTGTTTGTCCCAGTCTGAGGACTTCTTCACGCTCATCGAGTCCCACGAAGGGAAGCCCTTGAAGCTGATGGTTTATAACTCCGAGTCCGACTCCTGCCGGGAGGTGTCTGTAACTCCCAACGCAGCCTGGGGTGGAGAGGGCAGGTACTTCCGGGAGTCGGAGGGCTGTAGGGTGGGGTCCTGGTGGGGCCCTGGGTGGGCCTGGCTGGTGGGCATGGACCCCAGAGCCCCATGGTGGGGGGTGGAGGGCTGGGCCCTGGTTTAGGGATCCTGAGGCTGACCATGGTCCAGGAGGCATCCTTTTAGCCCCCTCACTGCCATTGGTGGGTGGGGGTGGCAGACACAGGAAAGGCTGTGGGGCAACTCCTGGATTGAATGTTTCTGGACTTCGGCAGTCTGGGGTGTGGTATCGGCTACGGGTATCTGCATCGGATCCCAATCCAGCCCCCCAGCTACCACAAGAAGCCCACCTGGTGCCCTGCCACCTGGTACCCCATCACCTGGTGCCCCGCCATCTGGTAACCCTCCATCTGGTGCCCTACCACCTGGTACCCCACCACCTGGTGCTCCGCCATCTGGTACCCCACCACCTGGTGCCTTGCCACCTGGTACTCTGCCATCTGGTACCCCACCACCTGGTGCCCTGCCTCCTGGAACCACCCCCCTGGACTCTCCTGCCCCTCCTGGCCCAGAGATGGGTTCCAGGCAGGGTGACTACTTGGAGGTACGTGGGGAGCCCCTGTCAACTAGGGGACGTGGGGAGCTTCATGTGGACAGAAGGGCGAGGGTTCTGGAGGCCCTTAGGAGGCCCACCTGCTTGTGGGACCCCGTGGGAACAGGTGGGCCCATTCTGGGACCATGAAACCGGCTCTGGTTCTCCTGCCTCTGAGGTGGGGAGGTGAGGCACTAGTTGTCACTCACATTTCATGAGTGGGAAACAGGCTCCGGGGCGGGCGGAGCCTTGCGCTGCGCCTCAGTGAGTCTGTGGTAAGGTTGGGCCAGAGGCTGGGCATCAGAGTCCCCGCCGGGCTGGTTGTCCGGCCGCCTCTGCAGGAGAGTGCTGGTCTTGTCTTCATGGCTGTTGAGCAGGTCCCCTGATGCCTTTAGGCCCTGGGCTGGTGCCTGGGGACCTGTGCCCGGGGCATGGAGGATGGCTTTCCAGGCCTGCTGTAATTCAGGAAAGGCCCTTCCTTCTTGTGTGTCATTGACGGGGCCCAGGCAGGATGGGTATCTGGGCTCCTCAGAAGTGG